TCTCAGTTGTGTGCCTGTGATGTCTTGCTCGAGAACTGTTCCGTTGGCGCTGTCGTTTTCTGGATCACCGTTTACGAATCTGTCGAGCATGATTGTGTAAAACGGAAAGCGCCAGTTGTCTGGCGACTTTGTGAAGTCGTGGTTCTCCCACTTTCCATCGTATAGGATAGGATCTGTCGCATCCTTATTTGTGTTGAGGTTGTAATCGGCGAACTGTTCGTCGTATTTGAGACCATTAACATTATGAGACAAGACGCCCAGTAGTAGGAGCGCCTTTAGCCTTCCGAACCACATGTTGGGCGGTTTGGTCTGTGATGTTCTGATGGAGGACGCCTTGGAGGTGCGTCCTCGAAGCGAGGGTGGGTAGGCGCTGGCTGTGTGATCAAGCAATGGAAGACGCCAGAGATAAACAACAATACTTATCAGAAAAAGGGTAAGAAAAGTAAACAAAATGTAACAGCATTCATGGACCGGCGGGAAGCGAGTGATGCCAGTTTGGGGGTTTGAGCGAGAGACGAAAGATGGGAAAGATGGTTGAACGATAGTAGAGCCGTTTCCCTTTCCCACAAAATACACACACCAGAGCAAGAACGAGAGCTAGGCAGGAAATGCAGAAGCAACGTACGTCAGAGATGGGGAGGGGAGAAGGGACTACGGGATAGATGGACTTTACTATGGAGACGGAAATCTTTGAACAGCACAGCACTTGCTTGCTTGCTTGCCTCTTCTGGGCGTGTCCACGGTCCACGGGCGTGTGTGTGGTGGTAAGGGGTGGGAGGATACATGGAGTGAGAGAGGCAGACCAGACCCGCCCGGCTGCTGGGCATCGCCTCACGAAAAAGGGTCATCAGAATCCGTCATGCCCGCCGCCTGCGGAGCCCACCATTCTAGGATACGAGCTCGAAGTTTACTCATGTCTGCATCATAGCGGTGACCTCTCGGTGGTGTCTTCGGCTTCGCAGGCAGGGTTGCGGAGGGTGGCCGATTGGGTCCTAAGAATATCCTCACCAGGCCATGGGCCCGGCCATCGCGGGTGGGCTGGAACCAGCAACGCAGATCTTCCCGGTCGGGAACTTGGAGGAGCCCTGGAGGAGCCTACCCAACTACGGATAGACGTCTAGAGAGTACTGAACTTCCTAGACCTAGAAGCTAGGAAGGACGTTGGGGGTTTCTTTGTTCCACTGTCCGTCCATTGTTCGTAGAGGAGTTCGGACGGCGGTCCCCTTTCGCGCGCGTAAAGTACGTATCTCAGTATCAACGACGACCATTCTCTCCTTGGTCTGCTTTTGCTGTGTCCGCGGGCTGGACTGAGCTCGCACTGGCAAGCAAAAGAAGTTGGGAAGCGGAACCCGGGCCAAGCAGGGGTGGAGCCGCAAGAGTTGAAAAAGTCGAACTTTGCAGGATTTCTGGCGGACATGGATGTTTTCCCGGGAACCCAATCGATCCTGGGATCCTTCAGGGATCATTTGGCTTGTGTCGGGCGTGGTTTGTCCATGTTGCTCAGCCGCCGAGAGAAAGCTTCAGTAGCTTCGACGAGATGTCAGCTCAAGTGGTCCCTAGCCCTAGAGCGTTTGAAGCCGTTTATTCTGCATGTCTTGGGCGAGCGAGCTGCGAGGGGCTGGTTGACGGTCGGCGGCGGCGAGCATGGCCCATTGAATGGAGGATGCATTGCATTGCATATTTCTCTCTCGTGTCAGCAACCCGCAAACCCGCAGCATGTGGTTCTGGGCCTGGGGCTGCGTTGCTTGGGTTAAGGGAAAAGGGACCCCTTATTTTGCGTCCGAGCGGGCATGCGAGAAAGCACAGGCGAAGAAGAAGAAAAAGAATTTTCGGGAAGACTGCGATAAGGAGAACACAGCTGCCAAGCGAGTCAGGAGATGGTCCCACTAGTTACAACACGGCCGCCGGGATGTGATGGGATGGGGATGGGGATGGAACGGACTGAGCGTGATTCTGTGCCATCTGTGGATGTTGTGCTCGGCCTGTCGAATTGTCGAATGTCGACAGTCAGAAAAGAAGTGGACAGAACATCAACTTGACGTCACGGCATTGGCTCAGATTTGAGAAAGCCTGCAGCGGCACTTTTGGTGGCGAAACGTTGTGGCTTGCCTTCTCTCTCTCTCTCTCTCTCTCCTTTACTGTGTGTGACTCTGTATCCTTACTATCGTCCGCCAACCCAACACTTCATTGTAACGGCACAACTCAGTTTTGGCTAGGTAGCCGATGAGGTTATCAGTCACCTTCCTTTTTCCATGGCCCGTCAAGCCATTATCACTATCACTATCTGAATTGGTGCTACGCTGAGTCTCGGTCTGTAGCACACACTCCTAGATAGCACCGCAAGTCATACCTGAAGCCCGCATACCCATATCTCTGTCTCTACCTTTTGCCCGTCGCTTCTCGAGCTTCTCTCGGAAACTTTCTCGAACAACGAAAAAGAGACAAAGCCAACGGTTCTGTCATTCCCAGGAACTGCCCTGACCAGCTCGATGACAGGGCGGTTATACTTTAGTGCGCAGATTAGCCAGCGCCTCTAGCGCACAGAGGCTGCGGATAGTGCACAGAGAAAGGGCCAACGGCGGCCAGCGGGTGTCTGTTCCTCGTCTGATGTCTCGTATTCCGTCCGAACCGCTGGCGGACACGCGCGGGAGTGGCAGTCCTTGCAAGCTGAAACTCAAACAGCGAGGTTGGGAGAGCCTGGAAGAGGTCTGTCAACTTTGTCTCTTCAGTATGCCCAATTGCCCGTAACTATCCAATAAGGCAAGCAAATGTCGGTGAACAGTGGGGAATCAGGAGGTTTCGCAGCTCGTTGGCAGGGCTATCGTGCTTGGTGAACAAATTCTCGCCAAGGTGACCAGAAGCTTGTTTAGTCACCCCCCTTCTGCCCCTATTCCAGAGTTGGCATGACGCGGCTGCGCGAAGAAATACGGACCGGTAGTGGAGTGCCGGCTTTTTTGTGCACTCGACTCAGCCACGGACCTGCATATACGCCGCCGCCGTCATCATTCATCGAGCCGTTTAATGCAGACTATTCAGATTTATCCAGACTATCCAGACTATGCGAGGACGGTTCGAAAGCCACCCGCCGGCCCCTAAAAGCAGGCACACAACGTTCGAGCTTTTCCACCTCGCCTGTCGTATCCCCCTATAACCCCCCTTAGCACACACCCGACGGATACACATAGTACAATAAATTTCATAATCGGTAGACACCGTAATAAACTCTCCTCGTGTAAAAGGATATCGGCATATCGGCATGTCCGCCGCGCGACGACCCCCACTCTCAGCCACCAATTGGGGGAAAAGCCCCTGAGCAAGACGCAACCACACCTCCACGCATCTTGGTGAACCATCTATCTCCCCCCGGCCAGCCCGGAACGCACAGCATGAGCCCATAAACCCATAAAGTGGTCAAAATGAGCCCGGATAAAGCGATTGTGGCTCGGAGGGGGAAAAAAAAAGCAAATCCTTCAGCTTCGTCTTTTGAATACCGGCACCAACAGACATTTGCGAGTAGCTAAAGAAATTTAAATCTCGTCATAAAATGCCCGAATCCGAGCTGCCGTTAAGGCGACGGTTGCACGACGGCACCACACCTCTCAGCACCCAAACCCGATCCGTGTCCCCTGTGGTGATCGTTGCTATAAATACTCTCTGTTATCGGTGACGGAACGGCAGGGAAGAGCGTTGTTTGTGTGATTTGTGGCGTCTGCCATTGGCTCGTTTACTACACAGTCTCGCTCTCTCACTCGCTGTGCCAACTTTTCTCTCGTCGTATCGACAATTCGCACAATTGTCCGGTCCTGTGGCTAAGTGACTGTGCCCATCATTTTCTTCTCTGCTTCTTCCTCTCGTTTCTCTGTGTGTGGCGTCCCTCGGCTGCCCACTATCGAAACGGAGCACAAGGACCGCCGCCGAGCAATTCTGACTGAATTCGAGACCGCTTGACCTTGCGTTTGTGTGCCACACCCCCCTTGTCCCGGTGGGTTGGGACCACATCACTCCCAGCCTCCAGGTTCAGGAAACACTGGAGCCAGTGTGGCCCTCGTTGGCGTTGTTCGCCAACTTCGCCCATGGGTTCGAAACCTCTGGACGGGAATCACGATCAATCTGACACATCTCAACCCGTGCGATAGCGTAGGCGAAGTCGCAGAGCAAATTGATGGAGTCGAGAGAGGGAAAATATCTTCATCCGTTGTCGTTCAACCCCAGAAAATTGAGCCCCTATTTCGTCTCCTTTTTTCAGAGTTTCTAACGGTTTTTTTTTTTTCTCTTTGCTTTGCTTTGTCTTGCTTTGTCGGAGAAATCGTTCCCTTTGTCCCCTCCGGAGTACTCCCCCTTTGCCGCCCTGAGGCTCTGAGCTGAGCACAAAGCAAGGAGTTTGTCAAAGCTTCCCCGCCAAGAACCAGATGGGCCCCGCGGTCACCGGAATGCCGAAGATCTCGATGCCCTAAGGCTTTAGTGTCCAGCGGCTTGTCTCAACGAAAATTCGACGTTCAGGCTTCAGCTGTCACGAACCGTGGATATGGAAAAAGTAGTCTCTCTCTCTCTCTCTCGCTTAGATTCTCGCATCCAACATTTCGGTACCCAGTGATAGTGTCGCGATTGTCGAGATGAGTATTGTCAGAAAAGAGCTCGCACTTACATACACCATTACCGTCTAAACTTCCGTATTATTGCCCAATATTGTTACTATTTTTGCGAGGAATTATTGGACCCAATCACCCGGGAACGGCGGAAGCGCCCCGACCATCACTCTAAATCACCGTGTTCATTCCACACGTGCGGGTATATCCTTCGGGACGGTGCCACCAGCAGGCAATTAAATTTGTCGTCGAGCTCGACTCCTTTACGAACGAACTGCGGCTCTCGTTGTCAGTGTCAGTCCAACAGCCACGGCAACTTGGCAAGCCCAACCCGCGCTGCTAGACGCCCTGACGCCGCCACCTCGTTTTCCTTCCCCTCGCCTCGGGTCGTCGTCTGACATTGTTGATTTGAGAATGGCAGTTGCTGCCTGGCACAAAGAAGCGCCGAAATCTGTTCAAGCTACTGTCGAGCTACTGTTTGTCATCTCCACAACGGTTTCGCCCCGAATACTAGGACCAAAAACCTCCACACCCGCCCGCCAGCAAAGAAGACTATCGAACAGCCGCTCCAAAGACGTGACGTGGGTCTTACTCAGCAGAGAGGCACAGAGGCTGCAAGAGCAAAGAGAAGAAAAAAAAAACCCCCCGGCGGGCCGCGAGGTGGTGGCTTGCAAGTTACGGGACGTGGGATTGCCAGCCTGTCTAGCTAAAAAGACCCGAACCTCGGACTCACTGACGCGAGCCCTTCCTAACTACGAATTGCCTAGCGGGAGCCTCGGAAGGATTTTCTGCCTTCTGGTTTCTGCGACGGCGTCGGCGGTCATCTTCAAGGTACAGTATCTTGAGTACCCAGATACGTAAGTCATTGTTTCCCCTATCTGTCCATGATGCCAGAAAAGACTCGCGCAATCGCGCAGCCTTGCGGCCGTGGAGCGCACGCAACGCCAGCGTCCGCGCAAGCAACTGCGGCTTAGCGTCCATCATGAGCTGGTTGATTGACGGTTCGAGTCGTTCGAGGTCCCCCGAAATGGCCTGAATGGGCCTTCAAGGCTCAAACGGGATGAGAGTATTTCGTGGCCCTCGCTGCCGAAGGTGAAACTTCCAATGAGAGCTCCGGCTCGATATTGTTTTATTGATTGCTTTCCGGTGAGGGTAAAGATAAAGTGTTTCAATCGTTTCTCTTCCAATCTTTCCTTTCCCTATTCCGTACCGCTACCCGAGGGCATGGTGCTACGTTGCGGCGTGTTGCGGCTCCTTGGCACTCTGTTGACGTTGCCTCTTTGAGCCTTTTCGGCTCGAGGGTCGCAATCCTTCCGTGTCGCAATCGAGGAGCAACGAGCCCTTTTCGGGTTTGTTGCCCTCCCAGGGCCACCTGCCTCCCACGCTCCCTCGAGGGCCTCTGCTCGTGAAAAATCGCGCGCGCCGCAACCCTGCAGGACGCGATGTTGCTTCAGGCGGCTAAGCGGGCGTACAGCACCAATGCCTTATCTTCATCCCGCAACAGCATGTGTGTGACTGTGTGTGTGCCGCCGTGAAGTATGTGTGATGTGGCCACGAGGTTGGCCAAGCTGCCCTGGTATTGTGAGACCAAAAGGCTGGGAGCTGACTCACCGCCCGACCCCCATGGCCAGCAACTGAGACCGCGGGTTAGACTGCCGCTTCGCTTGTGTGCGATATGCATATACGAAGGCTTTAGCTTGCTCAAGAGGCGCGACTCCGACAAGCCAGATCAGCCCAGCGGCGGGAATACGGCCAACCACGATTTATTTGCTCTTCGCTGGTTCATTCTATTCTGAGTTTCTCTGCCAGCACAGCAAGCCGTTCAGACGATACGAACTATGAGTGGGCGCCCCCGCGAGACAATGGAGCAGATGGGCATGCCGATGAACCGCGGGTTGCGCGGGGTGGTAGCCTGTCATCGTTCGTCGAGAGAACTTCTTGAATCCTGCAAGTTGCTTATTGAAACTTTGATCCGAAGCCTTACCGTTCCTAGTAGGGCTACGTGTGACGTGAATGGCACACATTGCGTCGGGTAGGTCGGAGCCGTGATGACGAGCTGAAGATTTACAGTACATCATTTCGAGGAAACTCGAGAACAATCTCTCACTCCTGTAGCCAACCGACCGACAAACGCTACCTTGTATCCCATACTCACGGCACTTCGTATGGTCGTACCATCTTCTGGTCTTTTCTCTTATCTGGGAGGTGTTCTCTCATGATCCTAGCTCCTCCATCCGGGCACTAAAGTTTTCCTCGTATTAATTGCGCTGCCTCGGGAAGTGAAGATCATCTGCACTCTAAGACGGCGAACCCTATTGGAGGGGACTACCTCGTCGACAACGCCAGACCACCCCGCCCTTGGAAAGTCTGGGGATGATGGTCTGTTCATTGTCTGCCGGCCCACCCGGCATTGTGTCCACCTTGAATCACGCTCATTGTCTCTGTGAGGCTGTGAGATGCCATGAGACGAACACGCCAGGAATACCATTTGAACCTTCTCTTTCTTCAAAGCTTCAATCAAAGTCTAAAGCAACATGGGGTAAAGTCACGATTGACAACGGGGTCATATCCGTTACTCGGCGAATATGAGATCTACACCTTGGTTTTGAAATATATCCAAATGACTCCAGTCAATCATTGGCTTCGGATATACGTGATATGAGAGGCTCTCTCTTCAGTCTATCAGGCTATCAGCTGCACGGCTCTGACATGCAGCACTTGATGAGTGTGCGAAACTGCAACGAATCCTTCGTAGCATCAAGCAAACATTCGTAGATCTCGAAGAGTCATCGCCAGTTTAGAAGCAAGATCCCAGCCTTAGAGATGGATGACATATCACTCCATGCAACCATGAGATAGTGCTAATACACGGACTAGCCGTTCTGGCATCTCAACGAGTGCCCGGATCTGTGGAGAGAGTTTCCATGATGTAACTGGGGTAAGCGAGACGTCTGTCTGAGCGCAAGTAGTACGTGATGTTTGGTTCTACTACTCCGTAGCTGCAGAAACATTTCATCGGCATCCAATCCAACACTCAGTTATCATTGACTAGACTGTTAGCGCCTTCCCTACCAACTCGTATTACTCACCCTTTGAACAAGATAACAGAAGTGCGGGTGACTGCTGATTGTTGAGTTTGAATTTTGCCATCTTGTCACACCCTCATCCATTTGTTCTGTGTGGAGTTAAGCGGCCTAGACCAGCCTGGTCTCATAATATCAGCCACAAACCCATCTTTAGCAACTCTGGACACCTGACACGTGCTCAAACCGCTTTGATTGCCGTCATGACTTCAGAGTGATGCAACCGAGTACATGTTCATACCAGCCTCAGATACGTGTTAGTGAAACTAGATGACAGAGTAGAGTTATTAGGTTGTTTGCCTTACAGTCAAGCCTAAACCAATAGGAGTTGGTTCTCGCAGCGCATCTTAGCAATCCTACACGTCATCAGACCCAGACTTTGTCAAAGGTTGTTCACTTCCCATAGAGTATGATGGGCCAAACTCAGAATGTCTGTTTTGTCTTGGGACATCGCTAGCAATCTACAATATCCGTAAGGCGCTTCTTTTCTACTGGAAGTCCACCATGTGACCTTCGAAGCTATTTTCAGTATTTCAGAATCTAAACTTTCAATTGATGTAACGCAATAATCCTTCTGGCGTGGAACCAGTTCTTCAAGTCTTTCCTTTGGCGTAGTTCAGTTCAGAATGATAAACACCACATGCTTCCCATTCCAACGGACATAGTGTAGATCTACTTGATATCCTGTAGATCAATCCATATGATTCATCCGAGTGGACCACAAATACACGCATTCACAGATAGATTCCTGATAGGAATTGCTGAACACCCAATTCTCGGCAACTGGTTATTCGGATCTCGGTTCCAAGCGAGCAATGGTCATGATAGGAATCTAGAGATTGTCATCGTCATTTTGCATTCGAAGGAATACAGGCCAGAAAACTCTTTGACCAAGAACGGGTCAGATGCGAAGCAGTGCAATCAATACAAAGCCCTTATCCATTCAATACTGGCTTCTGTCAAAGAGAAACAGATTGCAATCCGGACTCTGTTGCCCCTTTACAGACTGAGTATGCGGCTGCGTGCATTGACTCGAAGGGTCGCGAATAATGCATGACTCGCCCGTTCAACAAAAGCGCTCCATATCTCGCAAAATCTCAGGGGAAGGAAGGGGCTCTATTACCCAAAGTCTGAAGTATAGAGTGCCGGAACTTTATTGAAGCTTGGGCTCCGTCGCATCCTTGGCAAACATCCGATCCGCTTGCATGATGTGCCCGTCAAGGTGCCCTACGGAGACCCACTGAGAGGGTTTTCTGGAAAGAAGGGAAGAAAGGAGTAAGTATCGGTAATCATAGGATGAATGCTAACTTAAGAAGTTTCTGATAGCAGGGTAAAGTATGGATAGGTACCCTGCTGCTTTTTCTGAGTTGGTTGAAGGCACCGTGGCCAGACTTTGCTGCACCCCCGGATTACGAACTTATGCCCCATAGCCATAACACTTCGCCAAACTCCTCGGCACATTATCATCTACCTCAGTCATGAGTTATAATTGTTATGGGTTATAGTTGCATATAACCTCAAGATATCGCAGTCTTGGTCGACTTCAAATAATTAACATACAGTTCCATGATATGTGAAGTCTACCTATGTCCTGTCACTGCAGATTCTCGACATGACATAATGCGGTAAAGTTTTCAGAGAAAAGACAGCATATATGAAGAGTAAGTCGAGCGAGTTGAATGGATTGGGAGCTTTGCAAGTAGGCTGCTGAGTTTATTGACAAAACCTCAGCGTAGAACTTTTGAGACCCAAGTGAGAGCGTTGACACTTTGCCATGTACTAAGTGAAAGTTCTCCAGCCTGCTTTATTCGCAACTGATGTAAGTCTGTTCGATGAATTAATGCTACTTCTTCAAAATAAGCCAGTGACTTCAAGCTACTTCATACAGAGCTTGTTAACTCGGTGATCAATGTCCTAAAGCCAGAGCACCAAGCGGGTGACAAGATCGTATGATGTTCAACGAACATCAGACAAGTGCTTTCCTGCCAATTAGAGTATGTTCTCACTGGAATTCAAAGTATATAGCTTCATTGACTCATAGAGAGGGTGTGAAATAATAAAAGTGAAGAGAAAAAATAATCTTGATGATAGGTAGCCTTGGTGCTATCGACTTAGAACTCAACTTCTATTACTGAGCGATAGATCATGTCACGAAACAGGAATGGTATCAGCACTTGTCAGGCACCTTACCACGTGCTTTCTCACGTGGATATCACACTCTCTTAGTATATAGACTGCTCTCATGTGCCCATTCTAGATGGGTTACTTCAAGCCACTTTAACCCACTTCATATGCCCATTGCTGCGTGCCATAACTCGTGACAGATCATTTTGTCATCCACTCGAGCACTTGCCAGGGGTATGATATATGTGTTTAGAGCAGGTTGTATCGTCGGGAGTTAAGATTCAGAATCATCAAGTCTTTCTCCAGCGCAAGAGGGGGGGATACAAGAAGATACATCTGGCAAGCTGCGGCCATTCACAGTTTCATGCTATCAAATGAGGGTCTTCACAACAGTCTTCGACTCCAAGCCGGAGTCCAAGATCAGATAAGGGGGTTAAACTCGAAAAGTAATGGTCTACGCGGACTATGTGAAAGACAATCATAGAACGAATTTTGATTGTGTGATCCTTTCTCGTTTGCAGCTTTCTACATTTCTCTCCGGCCTTTGATTGTCCACAAGCTCAGCTCATTTCCAGTCTGCATTGGACAAAGACATGGACCTGAATACCTGTAGGGAATAAACCTTACACTCACAGACCACATCGTCTACGGGCTTATTATCATCGCAACGACGAACGAGCAAACATCAATATTCAGAACACGTATCTCTGATGGGAATATAACAACATAGTCCAGGATAGAACGGCTACGTAAGATATCTTAATTGTCCACTTAGCCAACTACTCAAGAATGCGCAACTACTTCACCGAGCTTATTGGCGTCCCAATAG